TAAAACCCAGACGCCTTTTGCCCTGGCTGGTGCTGAGCCCACTTGCTTCTGTGTGTTCTGCCCATCTGCAGTGTCTACCTTGTGCTGTGTGGACTCAGAAGAACATCTCTCCACACGGGCTGAGGGATGCTGCAACTCCTCCCGGCTTGCTGGTGCGATGGAGATTGGCCAGCTGAAACTTTGCAGGGGTTAGTTCTGTTCCCAGGGGAGGCTGATATAAATGAGATCTTTGAGACCAGGATTTCAGCTTCTCCTGCAGTTTAACATCCCTTCCTCTCCCCCATCACACTCTGCACTGTTTGCTCCCAGGCAGTAATTGCAAGCATTGCGTGTGAAGGTTGCGGCGGAGCTGGAGCACCATTGCTGGGCTCCAGTACGCTCCTGCCTTTTGAGCACAGGCAAAACCCTTCCTCTGTGTCTCCCCTGCCCGGGGGCAGAGATGATAATCCCTTACCCTCCTCCTTACTCGTGAGAGAAGGAACAGCTCTGGACCTGGAGTGGAGGGGGGGCTCTGCTGGCAGCCACCCCTGGGAGCAGCATTTCTCCTGATAAAAGTATATATGCTTAGGAGGGCAGTTTGGGGAGGCCTCGTCACTTCAGATTAGGCTGTAGCAGGCGTATCCTGTTTTCTAGGAAAAAGAGGATTTTGTGGCCAGCTTTGTTAGAGAGGCATTGAAGATTTTTCTTTGTGTGCCTTTGCGTTTGAAGTTTACACGCTAGTAGCTGCAGACTTTCTAGATGTTCTGGTTACAGGGATGACACTTATTTTTAACCTTATTTTTATTAGAGGTTTGTATCATGCGGTCCTGCCCAGCCCACAGGAAAGGCTAGAAACTTCATGTAGGAGGGATAACACTTCCTATCTCCATGTAAACAGCAATTCCCCCCAGATGGGAAAAGCCAGCCCAGCTGTAGGGGAGGCTGGAGGCTGCATTCCCACATATGGCAGCAGGATGAGGCTTTCCCACAGCAGGGACCGACCTTGCTTTCAGCAGCCAGAGCCCTGCCACTGTGCTGCTGAGTAGCACAGCTCTCCCCGCGCTCAGGAGAGATGCCGGGGACAGGAGAGCTTCTCCGGGGAGCAGTGGTGAGGAGTGGCCAGTCGCTGGGAGCTGCGATGGAGTGGAGCTGGTGAAGAGGCAGGCGGCCAGCGTGGGGCTGGGGCGAGGGCTCAGGCCACAGAGCTGCTCATGGAAGAGGAGGACACATCCCGCAGGACGTGCTCTGATGGGTCTTGCAGTGAAGAATGCCAGGCAGTGAAAATGATTGTTACTGTGGGCTGGGAAAGAGCCGCTGTGCCGTGTGTATACTGACAGGAGAAACCCTGAAGCCTGAACTCAGCAGGAGCGTTGCCGCTGGCTTCAGCAAAAGGAAAAGTTCCTCCTGCTCCCTGCCCCAGGGCTGCTAGAGGAGCTCACAGCTGTCCGAGGAGATTTAATGGTGCTGGTGCTTCTCCCTACCTGCTAGAAGACTAAACAAGCACTTAGCTGTTACTGGGGTCTGGGAATCTGGGACCCACAGATCCAGAGATGACGAGGTTGCGCTGCTGACGGCTGTAGGTAATGACACATATTTGCTCAATTGCTTTATTTGTCTAGGATCTCCAGGCACGCTGCTTACAAAGCATGGAGCAGGTCCTGACTCAAACACTTGGGTGCAAAGCAAGAGGCAGCGGGTGATCAGAGCCAGAGCAGAGCTCTGGGCAGGGAATGGTGCTGGTTTGCCTGGCCAGGGTGGCAAAGGAGAATTTTAGGAAGAAAATTGAAGTGGGAGAATAGGGTGGTCAGAGAAGAGCTGTGCCTGGTGCTGTAACCCAGGGTCACTGCAGAGAAGGCAAGGGCTGAGCAGCCTTTGGTGAGGAGGAGGATTCAGGGTTGGGAGTGATGAGTTATGCATGCAAGTGCTGGTGCGGTCACTGGGAAGCATTCACAGTGGAAGATGAGGATGAGGAGTCACTTTTGATGTGGATGGATGTTGCCAGTCACAACTCTGTTGTGATGGTGACAGAGCGGCTCTTTCAGCTGGTCGGTCACCAGCTCCATGGATTTGAAATGTTGGCCAAGGGAGGCCAGCCAGGCGTGAAAATGGCTCTTGCTGGAATGACTTTTTGCAGAAGCGCTGGGCAGTCCGGCTGTGCTGCCCATGGGAGTCACTCCGTCATGGGGAGGGACATGTCCATGGCACGGTGTGCAGAGGACGTGCAGCCTGCGCCCAGCCACTGCTCCCTGCTCATGTAAGCCCTGGCCATGCTTCCCGGCTTCTCACAGCTGCTCCAGTGATGGAGCGGAGGAGCTGTGCCCCCGCCAGCCATGTCCCACCTCTTGTCCATGCTGGAGAGCCTTGGAGCTGGTGGGGAGCGGTGGTGGGGTTGCTCTGGTACCTGCCTGGCAGAGCCTGCCAGCTGCATGCCCTTGTTCAGCAGGAATGGCTGAGGGCCTGGCACGGGGTACCAGAAATGTCTGACAGGAGCCTAAATAGAAAATCCCCTTTAGAGGTACCTTTGTTCCCTGTGAGATGATATACAAACTCCCTTGACTGTTAAGAAATAAACTTGCAGCATCTCTCTGTGGTTGTGTGTAGCAGAGACAGGGAAAAGGGTCAGGGTTTGGCTCATCATTTGCCCAGAGCTGCTTTGTTTGGTGCCTGGCCTTTTTCGCAAACAGTACACACAGACATGCTCTCCTGAATTAAATGATAACTGAGTGGAAGAGAGAGAAAGAGGGCGTTTCAGCCAGGCGGGAGATTGATGGCAGGTCAGCGAGGCCAACAGAGGCAGGAAGGTTTCCGTAGAAAGGGAGAGGAGCCTGTGGATGCTTGGAGCAAGGGCTAATTCCACCCTAACAGTGCCCTAGAAACTCTCATGAGCACAACCTGCAGAAGCATTTTGCTTTCCCAAATTTGGAAAAACAAACAGGAGTGAAATCTATTTGCTCGGTTTTAATCTACTGGACAGAGTTGCAAATTAGCTTTAGGTTTATGCGGTGTGTGTTTATTTGAACTGTAATCTCCTGTGTTCCCGAAGGCTTATCCAGACCAGGTTTCTCGGCTCCTCTTGTTCACTCGCAGGGCTTTTTTTGCACGTGCAGCCACACTTTTCATGCTTGTGTTTTGCAGGGATGGAGGGGTGGTCTGGGGGAACCTGCTGTACAGGCCTTGGGCTGGTCCAGGCACTTCCCGCAGGGTTCGGATACTTTGGCTAACTAACTCGTTTTTCCTCCTGGCTTTGAAAGCTTATTTCTGTCACACCAGGATAATCATATTCCTTCTTCTTACTGTTACAGAGTTTTCTGCTGGATCTAGGAGTAATAGCAAGTGAGCAGAGAAGATTATACCCCACGTGGACTCTGGATGCTTTGTCTTGGGCAGGAGAGGCGCAGGCTGTTTTCCTCAGCCCCAGCACAGCCCTCGCAAGTGTCTTGCCTCTGTACGGGAATGGGAGAGAACAAACAAACAAAAACTGACTGTAAAACTTGGGAGGCTTTGTCTGCCCGCACCACGCCAAGCTGCGAGGGGCACAGCGCTGATGGAAAGCCGGTGGGCAGAGGGTGGCTCAGTGGGACGAGGGCTCTGCCCGGCCCCGGGGTGCCCCTTCTCCTCCGGGGGGGGCTCCTCTACCGCAGGGGCTGAGGCGCGGGGTGGGGGGCTC